AGTTGTATTTTTTTAATCCTTGGATGAAGGCTTTGTCCTCATTATCTTTATTCTATTTACAGCCATTCGAAATCCATGAGTTTAGGGCACAAATTTGGCATGATGTTATTTTCTGTTAAACAGAAACGCTTTCCTGCAGTGAATACATATTGAAAACATGTATAAAGTGTTTTATTTTTGTTTTTATACTCTTTGAGTCCTCCCCTCTCACCTGAGTCATAATCAGCCTCAGAGCAACAAAAGTGGATGAAGAGTGGAATTATTGTATAAACGGTGTGAGACATTCTCTGCTATTCGTAAAACCTGTTAAAAATGTTGGTTAATTAAAAGTTAATTCTGGACTACCCTAGCTTACTGTAGTACATATTAGGGGAATCAGTTGTACACGCTCTCCATCTATTGTCTAAACCTCTCAGTTCAGCTACTGTTGTCATAACCCACTACTGCTGTCAATAAATTCCACCATGTGCTTGTGTCACATTTAATAAGGCAGCAGTCAGAGCATTTGGTGCCTGTGACTACAACTGGGCACGGTGCCATTATATCAAGCTGCAGTCACAAATGTCAAATCCACAGAGATCAGTGATTTTCAGAAACAAAGATTTCACTGTGAAAAAGCCAGAGGAAAAACAGGTCAGTCAGTGCAGGCTTCTCATACAATATGGTCCTTGTTGATTCTGTTTGGGGGGGCAGTGAATATAGTGTGGATTATCATGGTCAGTTATTACCACCAGTGAATATAGCGTGGATTATCATGGTCAGTTATTACCACTAAAGTTAATGAATGGCATTGTTATCTAAGACATTTTTCCTGCTTTCTAAGTGTGTTGCCTTCAAGCCCTGTTGCCCAATGCTCATCTAAATGCAAGGGAATCTTCATGTGCATTGAACAGGTGTTAAATGGTGCAGTTTGTCTCGCATGATTGAATGTGATGGTTATCATTTGTCAGAAAGGCTGCACAGATCTTTTTCAAAGGAGATGAAACCCACATAAAATCATTAGCAATAGCTTGCCATGAAATAAGCGTGATCTCACTCCATAAATACTTGACTTTCTTTGGTAGAAAAACCTTCATGAACTGAAGTTACAGTGCAATTGTGGTTCCTGTGAAATTACAGTAGCTTATTCTGTGGAAATCTTGAATATGGCTATAAGTGTTGCAATTAAACATTTGATTTTTGATTAGTTAAAAATTATGAATAGCTGTGGATAAAAATAAAAATTAAAAGAAGAAAATAAAAACATGGGGGGTGTTTGACAAATTGATTTTGAATAGCTGTGCACATCTTTGTTTACTTTGATGTAAGGATGATGTAAGCTTATCAAAAACGTTGTACAGCAGGTTGCACATCTGTTCACTCTGAATCAGCAGGGATTGACATGCTAATGTGCTGATTAGTGCCCTAAAATGGAACAATCGGTGCAATTATGTGCCATCAGTGTGTCTACTCTGGTCTAGTCAGGGTACTGAGACATTGCATACCAGTGGTTCTTCAGCAGCAAACTACCCAAAAATTTAGCCTGACACTGCTGCAACATACGAAAAATAACTTTTTTTTAGTTACTGTCCAGAATTATTGCTTCTGGCATTAACTACACTATTAAATATGGTGTTGAAGAACCACAGGGCATTAGAAAGTACTCAGTGATTTCCTCATCACTGCAACATAGTTATCGTATCTCTTGGATATAAACAGTGCAGTGTGCCAATGCAGAACCAGTCCTGCTTGTTCATAACCAGACGAGTTACATCATGTTGAATACTAGACTCTCACTGTTTGTTACAGATTACATTTTATTCCTTTTCAACAACAACAATCATATATCATTTATGAAACTGCAACCAAAAATATACACGCTGTATAAAACAGCAACATTTTCTTTTCAGTCTTAATCAAAATAATAGTCAAAATAATGACTTTTTTTTTTTTATGTTGCCTTACCGTCAGTTCTTTGTTCTCACATTTGATCAAAAACTAAAATCTCAAGGTACGATTATGATCAGGAATGTCACAAATGACACTGTTACTGTCACTCCAATTCCGGAAAATCTTTTTGTTAACTACAACTTCATTCAAATCTCTTTATGACAAATTTACTTATATTTAAATATGATTACAACAAACAAAGACCAAGTTCAAAACCAGTACATCTCCTGAAAGCATCTCCCATGATTGAGGTCAAGACAAACCTTTGTCTGTTGAGGCCATGAGCAGGCACTGCTGCTGAATGTGCGTGACCATGCTAAATGAATTGTCTGAGCATCAGGCTCAGGGCCTTCAGATATGAAACAATAATGGGAAGTTGGTAAACATAACAGATCAATACTGGAAATATTGACAGTCTTCTCATCCTGTGTGTCAACAGTGTCCAACATCTTCATTCTGCTGGCTCTCTACACAGAAAGACAGCTGTCAAAGGTAAAAACTACTACTACTTACAGTTGAGCTTTTTGAGGCTGAATAGTTTAAGTTCATAACCTTGGAAAAGTAATTAATAAATATTTATTATTATTATTATTTATTAGTAAAAACCACATTGTGTTATGCATTTATAGTCTTAAGGATTGAAACTATGTGTATATTTTTATCTACACTGTCTGCCCCCCCTTCACTCTCTCTCTCCCTTTATCTTTCCCTCTCTTTCCTTTCCTTCCCCTCCCTTAGAGCTCATTCAGTGAATATGTGGGATTTCTGGTTCACTGCGTTAATCTGACAGTCATGTTAACATTCCCTGCTGCACTGGTTCTGTCGGTCCCCTCCATGACACCAGGTAAAGTGTTTCTCACTGTTATTAAAATGTTCCCAGTAGAATGTCATTGTCTACTGCTGTTTCAGGGTCACTGCAGGAGCTTTCACCCTGGACAGTTTGTCAGTCCATCACAGGGACTTGTTGGATACATACATATCTTGATTAATTAACAGCTACCCAAAGTTTACTCAGATTAAATATTTAAAAGTGAACATTTAACCTTATGGTAACTTTTTGGGAGGAAACCAACAGAACCAGAGTAACCTCCACCCCCCCCACACACACACAAACAGGGAAAAAATACAAACTCTTTAAATTTCTCATCCTACCAGAGACAGACACTAAAACTATGTGCAACAATACTCTGCCTTTACTGTTACTGTTTTCATTGGTAGTTTACGGCGTGTTATAGGAACGTGTTAAGGAATAGTAAAAGTAATGTGATTATAATGAAGATCCAAAGAGGTTTTTTATTACCCAGGCTTTAGAAGAACCAGCTGACCAGTTGCAGTCAAATACATGTCTACACAGAGCCATTATGGGAGTCAGTTACTGCTAATGGACCAGTTGGTCATAAATGGATTAGTTCCAGCTGGTGAGGAGGAGGATGGAGAAGAGGACACCGTAATTATTTCTGGAGCATAAAAATTGAACCTTAAACATAAGGCCCTCTTATTGTTATCTTCAAGTTTAAATTCATCCAACAAAAGCTTGAAGACACTTGTCATGTATCTGTTTTCCCACCAGGGGGAAGAAGTTAAGTTAGTCTGTTACATAGGGCTGGAGTGTATTTGTGTTTGTCACACACTATAGTGGACATGTATGGACACGTATGGACGTTTGACGTGTCCGTTATCTTCATGGACTGGCAGACAGACGCAGCGAGCAGCGGAGAGACAGATGGTTGATGGTTTAGATCTTCTCTGGTTTGACGTCAGGTGCGCTGACCTCCACCTCACCCTGTTGGCTGACATTCATTTTTAGTTTTCTTCACCACACCACAAGGACAACACTCTCCGTGCTCAGAGAGTTGACTGAGTTTTATTTTAATGGGCTGGATTTATTGTTTGTACGCAGTCCAATGAGATGACAACTCTTTGTTTTTCTCTTGCTTTGATTCCGATGCCATCTGTTATTACAACCTACGTCTCTAATTTTTTTTGCCGTTTTTCTCAATTCTGTCTCTCTCAAGTATATATATTTTTTCTATTCTTAGATCACACTGCTGCCTTGATCCTCTTTTAACTTTATCTCTATTTATTCACATTGTGCTGTTTATCAATCGACTACACATTTACACGACAGAGCCGCAGTGCATTGTCCTCGTCTTTGTTTTACATATTATTTCCTCTCTCTGCCTCTGCAGTTGGTGGTGCTTTTGTGCTTGGCGTCTACACCATTCTCTTCCTCAAGCTCTACTCCTATAAGGATGTCAACATGTGGTGCAGAGAGCTGAGCTCTGCCAAGGCCAAGAAACTTTCCAGGTCGCTTTCCTGTAAGTCACAGCCCAAATACACTGGAGGATTTCAACACAAAGTGTTATATTATATCTTACTTTGAAATCTTTATGTCAGCTTTTAGTGTCTTACAGTGACACAAACACGCCTTAGTTGTTTGGTCATGCTGTGACAGTGACATCTATTGGCGAACTTGTGACATGGCAGCCCTGGGTTTGAAACATGACGATTTCATTTTAGTTTTTATTATTAATCAGTTATATATTTATATATAGTATAAATATTTTTAAGCCATTTAAATGCATTTAAACAGCCAGAAGTTCACACTCCTAACCAAACCAAAATTAGTATATAAGGCATAGTTTTCTATGTATATGTAAAGAAACATCTGAAATCACCATTGGCTGGTATATCGTTATGGAACACTGAAACTGGACTGTACCCCAGGTCAGAGGACTTATTTCTAACAGCCACAACTGTGACAGCTTCCATGAGCAGAGCTGATAATCACATTTAATTTAATACTAGTAAATTAAAAAAACACTGAAAGTTAATTTTTCATAAATATGAACACTACAGATTACAAAAAACAGTATTTACGGTAAATGCCAAACATCTGCCTAAAATGTTTCCACAGCATGGCAATGTCTTTCTATTAAACCTGTGTATAAATGTTTTTATAGGTCCTTCCACATGCAGTTTGAATGAAGGTGACCCTAAAGTGTGTTATCCTGGCAACCTCACCTTCCGAGGTATTTTAACTCGACTTTTTTATTTTGCATGGAAGTGTGTAAATAGTGGCCATTTAAACACATCAAGTTTTAAATGTGATTAATACCATTGTCTTCTTCCTACAGCGTCATGTTATTAAGGCTGTGATGAAGCTCCGTCACTGATCTTTGTTTCCTGTACCACAGTTGCTGTACGATGTGTGACACTCACCTTGTTTCCTCTCACTGAATCTACAGACATGTATTACTTCGTCTTTGCCCCGACGCTGTGCTATGAGCTCAACTTTCCACGCTCTCCTAAGATCCGCATGAGCTTCCGGCTGAGGAGGCTGGTTGGAATGGTGAGTAGTCAGACGTTCGATTTGTGACATACTCAATATCTTCATTATATTAAAAACATTCTCACTGGCATCTCCCCAGGAATTTTAAATCTTGGCAAAATTAAAACAGATGTTTTTTTTAGTTGAAACTTTACTGACAGTTAATTTTAAAAATAGAATTTATAATTCTCCGTGATAACTATTATGGTTTTTCTTGACATTCTGTAATAATTTAGATGTATTTGTGGAACATAATGTCACTCACTTATCTGATTTTGTTTTTCCAGCTTTTCTTTATCCAGATGTTAGTTGCTCTAACTCAACAGGTATGATCTCATTTAGATCAGAACAGTGCTGCTATTCTCTCACTCTCCGCAGTAGAACTACAGAACGTTAACACTGCTTTTCATGCTTTTCCTTTCAGTGGATGATTCCAATCATTCAAAGCTCCATGAAACCACTCGAGGTGATAGAAAGCAGCATATTACAGTGTAGCACTGTGATGTGTATAATTTGATTACATATTGTTTTTCCCTCTCCTCCTCAGGACATGGATTTGTCCAGAATGACTGAAAGACTCCTACGCTTAGCTGTAAGTATCAGCAATAACATGAAAAATAAAAGATTCATCGTTTGGCTTGTTAGGCTTTAGCTCAGTAAAGGGCTGTGTATTGGCTAGAATCTAACGATAACGTATCATGACACAGGGGCAATAATGCGATATATTGCGATATTCTACGACACTATAGGTACAATTTCACATAGTAGAGATGACATGATTGTACATTGCTTCCTGCTTAAAGCCTTTCACTGTATGTGTAGAGTAGTCTAGTTTTCAGTTTTAGCTGGGTTAATACATATCTCATGGACACATGCAGTACTTTATACTTTGTTTTCAATTAAGCTGTACTTCTCCTACACCACTCGAGGTTCCTAACCACCTGCTGTGGCTGATCTTCTTCTACTGGTTCTTCCACTCATCCATGAACTTTACTGCTGAGCTGCTGCGCTTTGGAGACAGACAGTTTTACAAGGACTGGTGGTGAGTTTGTGTCTATGGTTGTGAATAGTTTAGCATGTTTTTAGGACACTTGGTTTTTTTTTTTTTGGTTTTTTTTAAGAGAATAATAATACGTTTGACTTTAAATGGGGATGTAATGATACATTAAACTCACCATACAATTTTATCACATTTTTTTTCTTAACAATTTGAGCTGCAGACAAATATAACACAGTTACACCTTATTTATTCAAAATACCATCACCAGCCGCATACTGCCACCTACTGTACTAGAGTGTGTAGTCTCATGGTACGACCAGTAACTTTTTATGATAATGCAGACTACTCCTTACGCCTTGATGCCCGATGCATTTTTTATTTGAACTGATTTGTATTTTTAACTGATTTGCGGTGAGTCGTTACATCCCTAATTTTGACAGAAGCTTCCCAGCTGGATTTGTGGGATCAGACTTATTTTGCACCTGATTTCTTTGTTTAAATAAATCATTTTTATATAATTTATATATCCTTATTCTTGACAGGTCTAACTATTAAAACTTCAGTGACCACCAACTTCTGTCAAATATCCTCAGTTGTCTTTTGAAGCCTGTTATATCTAAACCTCTGTTTGCTGACTCGTCCTCCAGGAACTCTGAGACGGTGACATATTTCTGGCAGAATTGGAACATCCCCGTGCACAAGTGGTGTCTGCGGTGAGTTACTCGCGCACCTGCACACTGAGAGCAAGTGATAAAATGTTGACAAAAAACCAGGAGATGGCAGTAAGTTTGTCGCAAGGAGAAAGACAGAACTAGCCACTCTGACGTATTTAGTAGATTGGCTGTGGGTGAGTTAGTGGATCCGACAAATATATAGTTAGGTCGCAATATATCAACAAAACAAGTATATACACAACGAGAATTTCCTTTCCTTTCCTTCCTTTACTATATAAATATAAAGTATATTAAAACATATATTGTATATTTATATTCTATTTATATTATATATACTGTGTTAGATGTGAGTGATTTGTTTCCCTTAAGTCAGAACACTTTTTTCACTGGATATTTACTCCAATTATATATAAATATGTGCAATTATTTTTGAGATTTACTTTTGCATATATTTTGTCATTTTTCCATATTAATATTCTCATCATATGGATTGGTCCCAAATAAAAACAGCTGTGAAAACACATACATCTACTGGATCTTGCTTCTTGTATTCAAGCAATAAACACATTTATTATCACACTTAGGAATCTTGATCTATCTAAATTAATCATTCATCAATTAATTAATTAAAAATCAAAATGAAACAGAAGTGAAGAACACACACCTACCCGCTGTTAGCTGTCATCTAGTACTAGCAAGATACAAATATATTGTCATATTTTTTAATGTTACTTAATCATGATTGATTGTGATTAATCGTGATTAATTGTTGTGTTAATCACTGTTGTAATGACGTAGTTACCTTTTGTTCAGTAAAAAGTATCAGTTCATGATCAAAACTTTTCAGTTACCTTCAAAATCTTTTGACTGACGTAGTTACATTTTGTTCAGTAAAAAGTATCAGTTCATGTAAACTGATCATTTCGTTTATTCTCTGTGACTATTTTGAAAAGCATAATTTTTCTTCCCGTCTCTCAGCCACTTTTACAAGCCACTGCTAAGGAGAGGATTCAGTAAAATTGTCAGCCAGTCAGCAGTTTTCTTCTTGTCGGCTTTTTTCCACGAGGTACGGCTTAAAGCCATTATTGATTAGCTTTTAAATTCAGTCATTTGAAAGCTCCTGGGCAGACATGGTCATGTGACTTCCTGTCTTTGTTTACGTCTCAGTATCTGGTGAGTGTCCCTCTCAGGATGTTCAGGCTTTGGGCTTTTACGGGAATGATGGCTCAGGTAAGACCCAGCACTAGTCACACTGCACACAATACATGTCAAACTCAGGCCCAGGGCCCGAACCTGGTCCATCGTGAGATCATATCAAATGTGTACTAGAGTTGGCCCACCAGTAAATAGCCCCTATATACTGGCAGGACATGTAGTATTAGCGATGCTATGTTATAGCACATACATTTAGTTTTTTCTGTATGTTGCTAAATTATATATTTTGTACCACAGGTGCATGAAGGCGGTGAAACACCTTTAATTAGTCATTTGTACAAAAACGATGTTGATGAGCGTCCAATGGGAAAACATATTCATCTATCACCAACCGTTGTAGTTAGTCGCTGTTTGGCTTCGGCTACAGTATCATTAACTTAATTAATGACCTCAGTGGTATTACAGGCCATGTTTGATGTATCATAGGGATTAAGGTGACACAGTAGGCAAAGGAAGTGACTCTTGTTGTTTGCTGATGACACTACTTTATTAATCATCTGTGCTGAACCAAATACTACAGTTCATTTAAAAAACACACCACAGCGTCCAGACTGGAGTTAGTCTTTTAAAGTCACAGTCATGCACTTTGTTAATTTAATTTTAATTAATTTTAATTCACCCCTCCCCGCCCCCCCACAGCTTCCACTGGCCTGGTTTGTGGGACGCTTCTTGCGGGGTAACTACGGTAACGCTGCAGTGTGGATGTCCCTCATTATTGGACAGCCGTTCGCTGTCTTGATGTATGTCCATGATTATTATGTCATTCACTACCGACAGGAGACGGAATGACCGTCCAACAAGACGTGGTTCAGATACTTTACCCACTAAATATCATAAATAGTTTCATTTCAAATTTTTTTTCTTTTAAAAGAAGTACTTAAGTTAGCTATATAATAGGACATGATTATACAGGATCAGAAGAAAGGAATGAAAGATTAGGAAAACATCCTGATACAGTACTGTACAGAAATGTCTCAGTGAGGAAGGGGATGTTACAATGCAGTTTGTTGTTACTCAGGTGAATTTTCCCCAGGGTCTTGTGAAAACCTGTGACTGTACAGAAATGTAACTTTAACGATTATTTATTGTTCTAAGAAAGAGAGATAGAGCTTTGAAACATTATTCAGTGCACTGCAGGTCTTTTGAATGTATATCTACCCAGCAAATGGTTTGATACTGTTGTCTGGGGCAAAAGTAAAAAAAAACAACACCCGTGGTTCCGTTAGGTGAGTCTGTTCTTCTCAAAGGAAACTATGACTTTATTCATTTTCAAGGACGTTTTTCCAAAACAAGAATGTACATTTTGTTACCATTTCTTAGTTTCATTTGACTTCACCCTGATCCTTTTATGGATTATGTTTAATTCACCTAAGTTGTCAAAGTCACATGTTCACCATGGGAACAGTGCAAATCTTCTTTTTACTAGTTATCACACCAGTTACTCAGTAAACAGACCGTATTGAGAGGTATTGCACTATATACATACTGTAAGTCTCAGTTTGTGAAGATGCGACTGTGAATATGTCAAAGAGAATTAGGATTTTTTTATACATCTGCAGAGAGATTTGTCATTGGATTGGTTGTTTTACGTTGTAATACTTTCTGTAATGTAGGGTTTCAGATTCAAATACCAAATGTTTCATGTCACAGTCTAAAGAAAACTCTTCCATCCATCACAGAACATTCTTTCCTTAAGTCATTCTTAAAAACAACCAGCCTTGTCCAGTGTCAACAACAGTTCGACAGGGTGTTGGCTCTGTCAGCCAAAAATGTGAGACAGCACTTGTTGGTGTTTCTGTAAAATTTTGCCAGGCATTATCCACACTAAAGAGGCTAAAACCCATCTACACCATGAGTGCATTAGGATTCTGTGATACATTTTTATTTTTTTGTTTTTGGCACCAAACCAACAACAAGCAGGATAGAAAATATGATGAATGATGAATCCTCTACTGCAGCTGTGGCACTTAGAGAACAGGTGTTTAGATTTAAAAAAAAAAAAAAAAAAACTTTTTAAAAACCTGACTTCATCTTTATATTGTCCTTGAAGGAAATACAGCAATGATGCTAAGAAATGGACCCTTTGTTTGTGCCTTATTTAAGCTGTATTTTATTAAAGGAAATAATCAGAATGTTGTAGGGGAAATGTTATATTTTGGCCAGAGTTATTTGATTTGTTTTCTTTTTATATTTTACTTTGCATCCAAGGACAATGGCCAGCCTTACTGTGCGTTATGGTCTGTTTCAGTCTGTTGTTGCTTTATACATTTGTGGCACTAAAGAACACATGACATATCCACTTTATTTTTCTTTTATACCAATAAAAAAACACCTTTTTATGTCAAATATTATTTAAAAATAAAAGTAAAGGCAGCCATGTTTTTTGAGTCGTTTTTTTTTTTTTGTTATCACTTCACTGCAGCAGGCAAAGATTTTTAACGGTCAAATATGAAAGTGGTTAAACACATTAGTTAGTCAGGGTTTATTTAACGCAGATCACAGACGATTATTGTTGTTTCAGCAGGCAAAGATTTTTAACGGTCAAATATGAAAGTGGTTAAACACATTAGTTAGTCAGGGTTTATTTAACGCAGATCACAGACGATTATTGTTGTTTGGAAGTAAAATATAAATAATAAAATTTTAAAATCATGTATGGGTCTATAGCAAGGGTCTCAAACCTCAGGCCTGGGGGTCCATCTCCTGCCCTTCAACCTCACCTGGCCTGCAAGTAATGGTCATACTGCCTAGAAGTTTCTTCTACATTTCCATATTTTTAATAGTTGTCTTAATCCTATTCCACAAAGTGGCAGTAGATGGCTATAGAAATGAGAGATTCAGAGCGGTTGAAGATGTCTCTGTTTTTCTTTAATTCCCTGTAAGTATATCAAGGTTGTGTTCAACTAAACAGGCCCAGGTTACAACTAAAACTCATTGCATTACATTGCACTGCTTCAAATTGGCTGAAATAGCATTCATATTTATATACAGTACATATTGATTAATTTGTAAAAATGTAATTAGATATTTTCATTTATTCATAAAATGTCAAATAAACCAAAGAAGATGTTTTCGTGTTTATAAAAAGTGAGACATTTCCTCTGGGGCTGCTGTCTGTGACTAACATGAACCCAGTGTCTCTGTGAAAGTTGTAACATTTTACAATATCACCAGCTGTAATAAATGTATCACTGCAATAATCATCCACACGGCAGCTCCTGCATATTTGCATAGTTAAACCCAGCTGGTGAGTTTTTTGTCAGGGAAGTGTACGGTGCACCTGCAGTAATGTTCTTCATTGGTCATTAAACAGACAGGTGCACGGTCACGCTCCGCTGGACAGAAATACTCTGAAGTGCTGTGTAACAGTCTGCAAGTGATGCAGATGACAAGCAGTGTGTTCCCTGTCACTTCTTCTTGTACATTTTAATGAGATGATGTAACAATCTGTACACAGATATAACTTCTAAAAATCAAACTTTTTCTGCACACGGCATATATATAAACTGTATATATACAGTAGTAGAAGTGCATGCATTTGTTTCCTGACCCAGAAGAATGCTGAGACTTCCTGTCTGAATCCCAAACTAAGCAAAGGTTTAAAGACAAGGTGAGGGGAATAGGAAGTGTGTGCAAATAAAAAAAATAAAAAAAGGGAAGAAATAATAACTGTATGAGACAAATAAAAGTGATAGTAATATAAAGACATATTTTTGAGAAAAGTATCTCCTGGATTTCTTACTAGCATAATTAATAACCAGAGACAGCAGACATGAATGACGAAATGTTGAAGCACTGCAAACAGAATCACGACTGGTTGATGTTTGGAGCTGATGCTGAAAGTCATCAAAGTCTAATTTAACAGTGATTGATATGATTGTTAAAATCATATCAATCATTGTTAAATTTGACTTTGTTGCCATGGAAATGACCCAAAAAGCCTGTCTTGTGTAATACTGTATATTCACTGCAGGCCAGTGTTCAATGTCTTTCCAAATTATTGCTGCAACATCCATGAATATGGTTTTGTTATTTATTTCCCAGTACATGAAGTAAGTGGTTTCATCTCCAACTTTCCCTGGAGCAGCACTCGTTAGGACTGTTAATGATGATGAACTTGCTCCACTAGGCTGAATAATATCAGGGGATTTTACTTTGAAAACACTCATTCATTTCCTTCACTGGTCCTAATGTTCTCTGGCCACTGACTGGTCCTGGTGATGCAGATGAACCACATTATTCATGCCTCGCCCTCAGCTGAGCAAGTGATTCTCATTAGCCTGAATAGACTGCATTTTTCATTAGCCGCATGATTGTTTTGCTGCAAGAGATTAGTTGTGAATCATGAGCGTACACAACACAATATGCCGTCCTTCTGAAAGCGCTTTCATCTGGAACTCACAGGGTGATTAAACTACAGTCCAGGATGAAATTACTACAAGTCAGTACAAGTACTGTACTGTGCTGTACTGTACTTCAAACCCATCATCCATGTTTCTCATTTCTGAAACCTGAAAAAGAGGAGTGTGTTTCGGTCAGATTTCATAAACCACATTTTTTCTTTTTGTTTTAATTTCTTCTCATAGCTCCCATCACCTCATTAGGAGTTATATTGCAGTAGTTCAGTGATCATCACCTGGTGTCCCACGGGCCGATTCTGACCCACTGAAACATCCAATCTGGCCCATGTCTAGATTCCAAAATAAACAACACATAATAATGTTAGACCAAAATGTGATTTTAATTCCACTTTATTTGAGTGTCCGGCCTCCAGGTTTACTGTCCAGAAGAATTCTGGCCCTCTGACAATTACAGTTGGTGACACTTCTATAGTTGAACTCCAGCCCAAGCTGAGAATCAAAAATCAAAAAAAAAAAAACTGAACTGGCCGCATGTGACCCCCGGTCCTTAGTTTGTCCATGCCTGTCCTACACCATATAGAAAAGACAATTACATGCTGTATGTCTTTATCTCATTTTGTTGTACACCAAACTTAAGTTGCCCATAGGTTGCACGTTTTACAATAGAAAGAAAACAATTGTAATTGTTTTATACTTATATTCTAAGATGTTTTCACACATAAAAATCCGAGAGGGTTTGTTTTTACACATTGGAAAACTTGGAAAACATATTGTTTTTCAAGTTATGGCTGTCCTTTATACATTGGCCCACATGCCTGTGTAGATTCTGACACAATGAAGAAACATTTAAGGACAAGTAACAATCCACACCGGCTGAATCCACGCCTCTCCCTCAGTCGTATTCCCCTGAGATACTCTGCTGTAAGTGACTGCCCTCTGCTGTCTGTACCAGTCACACCTGCTGGAGCCAACTTCATATTTTGCATATTTTATTCCTCGCAGCTGAAAGCACCATCTGGGACGGGTCACTTAGAAAACTCAAGTGTCTAATTTTATCAAAGTTTGTTAACAGCTGCTTTTTGATTGTGCACTGTAAGATGTGATCATTAAACTGTGAAAACATGACACGCAGTAGGCAAAGAAAAGTAAAGCCCTGGAGATGACATGACACTTTTTGTCACAGTTAAATCTGTTCTCTTCCCTGGGTAACTTTATAGTTGTCTGCAGCTGAAATCTGGACCTAAGCAGATTTTTCACTTTTTTTAAATAATTAGATATGAGCTATAGAAAAAGTTATTATTCAAAACAATAAAATACTTTTTGATATGAATTCAAATCAGTAGTAATAGTACTAAATGAATTAGTAGTAGTAGTACTGATATTAAATACTGAACTTTAAAGGCTACAGCTGCTCACTGATGTTTTGTATTATTTAGTCGCGAGTCTGAGGAGTTTTAACAAACGATTCGGACCAATCGTGACATCAACTATGCAGGCCTCTTACGTACAGCAGAGGGAGACATTGATTTTCCCTTCTAAGACATCATTCTATGAGACCAATGAAAATGTAATTCTAATAAAATGGAACAATAAATTGTAAGTAATGAAGCGTTACTAGTCAGACGCATTTTATTTTTGATAGAGATTACTTAGTTTGTTATGTGTAATTTACACGAAGTAATGGCAATTACTATTAATAACGTAATGGCATCAAAGGCACATAAGTGATGAGAAAAAAAGATAAAAGAATGACATCAGATATTATGAGACAAGAAACGAACTTTGTATGACAGAAGTCTGTCTTCTTCTGTCAGCCATGGGCCATTTGAATCAGTTGGCCCTATAGTTAGAATGGGAACCGTGTCCATGAAGTCACTCAAAAAGTGACTCAAAGTGACTAAACACAAAGTCAGGTATTATTTATTTATTTCATTATTCACCTCACTTCTTAATAGCAAATATTTGTAGTGGGATTTTTGTGTCATATGCTTAATTTCATTCGTATGTAAAACGTTCAAGGTAATAATAAAAAATGTCTTATACATTATATTATGTTATATTATTATATTATATTTTAATTTATAAACTTTAATAAATCAAAGTTTATACGTAACATCCCGCCCCCCGTAGGTGAGTAGCTTGATGGCGTCACTCCCGTTCGGTTTTAGCCACGCCCCGCTTTGTTACTGTGGAAACCCAAGAGACTGACGGGAGTAGTGAGGCAGATGGTCGCAGTCAGCCGCAAAGGTTAGCAGTTGTGCTAACCCAAATTCAGAGTTTTGTTTCTGCTTCGTCAATGCTTGTTTACAACCGGAAAGTGATGCCAATTCACCTTTACACTTATGAACTCTCAGGTACGTCACACCTCTCTGTATCCGTTTAGAACAGGTCTATTGCTGGCAGTCTGATTTATTAGCCCTAGAACTGTTAGCCACAAGTCAAACCTCATTCAGTCAGTATAACGGTAACATGTCCTGAATCATGGTTAGATGTTGGATTTACGTGAAGAAAAAACGAAATCATTTATAAACGTGTGGTCTGTTGTTCTCGACTTTAACGGCTCTATTTTACTGAGGTTGTGGCTGTGGTATAACAGGAGAGGCTCAGGTAAGAACAGTCTCATTAACAAGCGTGTCCCAACAAGTCCAGCAATTCCGCGGACACATTTTTGGTGCGTAAGAGGAAGAGGAACACCCACTCACATTTGTGGGTGTTTTTCAAACCTCGATTTATGTTAACATTTCCGCTGTCACCTATGGTTTATTTGGTCATACTCAATAACTGACATTTCTAAGTTACCGTTACTGGTAGTACTGTAATTACTTACATCAGTACAGAGCGCGGATGCATGTATTTCCCTCACAGTTGGAATCATTGGCAAATGTCAACAGCAAAGTTTGCTCAGTCTGCAATTCATTTGTGACTCTAACTTCTGAATAAACTCTGTAAATTGACTATAAGTGGACAAATACATTTGCCACAGAATGTACATTAAATAAACTGTATAATAGAATGAGAATTAGGGGAGGCTAGTGTTTAATGCAATGCAATAAAGTGCATCACCAATGATTTGATTATTAAATATATAAGGTACAATTATGTATTTATTTTATAATTGCTATATATGTTTATATTATGCATGTTGATTTTTATTGAAATTACATAAAGAAGCAAATGTAAAAGGCAGTTTTTCAAAATAGAAAACCATACCTGACAAAGATTAAATATTTGAAAAACATCTTAACAAAACTTTTTTTTTCTTTGTGTGACCTGGTACCAAATGATCCACGGCCCAGTATTGACCCGTGTCACTAGTGGTTTAGTACCACAGTTGTGAACATTTTATTTGCATAGAGACAGAAATGGAAAATACTTTACTGTCCAATTATTGAAGGACCTTTCCCTTCGTGGGAACTGCACTAAGATATTTTTGTACCTTGTAACTTTTTTTGTGTTTATGTCATGACCCACAGTTTCCCACATCTACCCTTTTGGTTGAGCTGTACATGAAACAGTATATCAGTTAACAACTAACTAACTAACAAGTTTTTGTTTTGTTTATCTTTTCGTTCTTTCAGGTTATTGTGTAACTCATTGGGTTTCCACAAACATTGGCTCGGACTTGCCTCAAAGTAAACTCGGTCTCCAGCTTACCCACAGTCCCACAGTCCAAATACAGCAGGCACATGACCTCTGCCATACACTG